AACGATCCACATGTTTAAAAAATTACAAAAATTATCCCCGTAATTTATAGAAAATCTGCAGGTTTGGTCCCTACATTTTCCTACGTCAGCAAGTTTTCTCTCCCCAAACTGTGCATACAAAACGATAAACAATTAATAGTACTATTTTTCTTTTGTGTGACTAGAACATAGTAAGCAAAACCTCACATGTGTCGCCTGCGAAGCGGGGAATAGGCAATTTCTAGTTAATATTATTTCTATTTATTATCATATATTTCAATTCTTCAAATTGTTGAATGTCGACATTCAATCGAGCGTTATATATGATTTCTTATCCAACAAACATTGTGATTTCTTATCCAACAAACATTGTTATATGTAGTTACACCATAATGAAAAAACATTAGGCATTTGATACGTTCCTTGTAAATCAACATTCATATTATGAGCAATTTGAACAGAAGCGATATCAATAGCTATATGATTTGAAATGTCTTGTGACCAAAACTTAGCGGTAAGCACGTCGTCGAACGTTGTTTACTAAAACAATGAAAGATTACATTATATGTGTTTGTAATGAAAAAAAACATTTTCCTACATGATAACTATAATCATGTGAATTTCTTCCCGTTATTGAGGTTGTTTGGAATAAACAAATAAAGTCTTTTGTTGTTGTTTTTCTACTAAAAGGTTTTAAAAATACATGAAAAAATCTAGTAAAAATCATGACGTTACAATAAACCAATGTTTAGTTCCCAAAATATTTGATGAAAAGTAATTCAACAAAGAACTTATGTTGGTGAAATAGTCTTCATTAATCGATGTGTATCGATGAGATAAATTCAATTGAGAAAAAAATAAATGTTGAGAATGAGGGAATCATTCTCAATCAATCATTTATTTTTGCCGCAAATGGCTTCGTCATACCGGCATGACAGAGGATGAGTAATATTCATATATGAATTCACCATCACCCCTCCACCACCAACCACCACAACCGCCAGCAACCATCGCCGTCATATTCATATATGAATAATCACTTGTTCATATACTTATTTATGTATAAATACGCATGGTCACATATTCTTATATATATATATATATATATATATATATATATATACACACACACACACACGTATTCAGATATGAATATGATCTGTTCCATCGGACTGGTATACTGGAGCGTTTAAACGACATATTTGAAATGAATGACCCACTTTAAAATAAATTACAATTTAATTTAATACGCACAATGTAACCCATAACTAAGACTAGACTTGGCAATGTGTAACACTCGATTTCGGATTTACTTCGTTCCTTGGGGTTGCAGCCCAGTCATCAGTTGTCATGAGGCTTAGGGCTTCGGGAAAGGAAGTATTTGACCCATTTCAGATGTGGGTGTCATGGTTTGAGTGATCCAAGTATTTGATTGTGTCTTCGGAAGCCAATGGTATAATCGTAATTTGATATCTCAGTCTTTTATGGATTTTGGGTTTTGTTCGGGAGGTTTTAAGGCTTGGGTGTGTTATTAGGAGCATAGGGCTTCTCGCCACCTTTTCGTGGATATAAGGTTTGTCGGAAACAGACCTAGAATGAGGATTTATGGTATTTTGAGATTTTGGCAGTTTTAGTCCCTAATGGATATACTTGGCAAATCAATCCCATGCATGCAAGGGATGCATGCGCGTGTCTGGTTGGGTACGCCTAGCATAAGCTGGGGGTACGCCCAACGTACGTGTGAATGATGGACGCGGGACTTAGAGTTGTACGCCCAGCGTACAAACACTACGCCCAACGTAGTGTGCTATGTTCCAAAACCCTAATTTTTAGGGTTGGCTCACTATTTAAGCACATTAAGTTCCAGGTGTGAGCCTCCCTTTCATCCTCCATTGCCTTAAACCCTAATTTTGAGTGGTAGCTTCATCCAAGAGTGTTGTGAGCCTTGTATGTGCATTTTTTGTGGATTTTAGTGTATTTCAAGAAGTGGTAGCTTGGTACAAGGTGGTGGTTCAAGAAAAGGCTTGTAGATCTGGACTCATTGCTACATTTTCAGCTCATAGAAGGTAAAAGTTCTTAGCTTGATCATTAGAAGTTGAGATTTAAGATTACGTGGGTTTTGGTTCCATTTTGACCTCATGAGGTTATAAGTTTATAAAAATGCTTGATTTATGCTTAGATGTGATCCATGCATGTTATAGATGGATTAAGAAGGGTATTATTGGGTCAAGATGGTCATTGGGTCCCTTTGAGTCATGCAAACGCATAAAGGTGCCGACTTCATGCATTAAGAGCTTTATTTTGAGGTTTCCTGAAGTTTGGATGCAAAGTGCTTAATTGGTTAAGTCATAAATTGAGTTTGGAGGATCTGCGGTTACTCCCCGCGTAACTAGAGGTACGCCCAACATACATCTTCTTTGGTCGCGATCCAGATTCCTCGAGTACGCCCAGCGTAAGCTGAGCGTACGCCCCACGTTCGTGGATCTGAGGGCTTTTGGGCTCGTTTCGTGTTTGGGCTTCGAAATTGGGTTGGGTTTTTGTGTTGGTATTTCTGGTCAAAAGAATGCGAGAGACTTGGAGTCTTGATTGGGCTTGTGTAGTTGGGCCAAGATTTTGTATTGGGCCCAGGCCTTGGTGGGCCCAATGGGCTTGGACCTTTGGGTCATCGGAGAATTATTATTGGACCAGGAATTATTAGGCTTTTGGGTAAGGACCATATGGAGTTGGGCCCAATTTGGAAAATTGGGCCATTAATGGGCTTTTATGGCTCTTATAGTTTTCGGCCTTTTTGGTTTTGGGCTTGGGCCTTGGTTGTGAGTCTTGTTGGGCCAAGGGTAAAATGGTCATTTTACCCCAAGTTTGGATTATGGATCTTGGTTTGGAATTCGGTTGCTAATTGGATATTGTGTTGGTAATTGTTAGCTTGGGAAGTTGTCAGGGCAGCGGCTAGGGATTTCTTGTAGTGAGCTTCAACATTCGAGATGAGTCTCCTCACTGTTTGTATGGGTCGAAGGCACCAATGCCGGCCCATTTGATTTATGTATTGTAGGAAGACCCCGGGGGTTAGCCTTTGGCCTTATGTATGAAAGAGCAGGAGACGGCTCCTGGCGCACTGTATGCAAGACCAGAGTCTGAACTCTGGCAATTATTAGTTAAGTAGTTGTAGACTGTATGCTAGTTGTCTTTGTGATGCTTGCATGGAAGACCCTGAGGTGGCTCCTGGCACCTGTTTGTAAGACCCAGGGTTGTGGTCCCCGGCCTGGCAAGAAAGACCACGAGGTGGCCCGTGGCATAATGGGAAGACAATATGCGGCACATAGCACCTTTATTGATTATGATATATGAATGATATGTATGGCTCGCGGTTATGTACGACTTGTATGGATCATTGGATATGTATGGTATGTGGTATTTGGGGAACTCACTAAGCTTTGTGCTTACGGTTTTCAGTTTTGTTTCAGGTACTCCAGTTTTCAAATGAAAGAGCTCGGGATGATCGCAACACATACACCCGTGTTTTCCGCAATACTTGATCTTTGGGATTGGACTCTGATATTTGTTTTATTTGAAATGTTTTTCAATGTTTTGAACAAAGTTACAATACTGTTTTAAATATATTAAAAATGAAATTTTTACCTTGGATTTTTGGGTCGTTACATAATATAGTGGGTTTGGAGTAGATCAACCTTGATCCAAACCCATTAAGCAACTTTCAAATGTTGATCCAAACCCGACCCGTAACCCATAGAGTTTTGAATAATTAAACTCATACCTTTATCCACCGGATCAACGGATTTTCAACCCTTTACCTGACCCATTTACAATATTAACATTAGACTATAATTATGCATTACAACACATATAACATGAATCATTAAAACCAGACAGCATTCATTCCAAAACAAATTTTAATTATAGCTTAATCAATAATGTTTTCAAAACAAAACAAATGTCTACTATTGCAAACATGCATGATAAATGTAGACATCAAAATGCATCTTCAAAAAGCTCAAAGTCCAACCGATCCACTCACTCACTGTAATACTAATTTCACATATTTATTTGTAATGGGAATCGAATGAAATTTGGCCATTAGGAACTAGGAAGTTGAAGTGGAACGGTCGAACTCCTCAGGTCTCGTACATAATATCTTAATTGTCTTTTTTTTTTTTGGTATGGGTTCAATTATTTATTATGTTTTCTAAAACATGTTGCTAAATAATACCCGTATAATTCTTGGAAACGTGGGATTAGAAATCCATATGAGTTGGCAATGACGTGAATCCAAATATTTTTTAATTTTGTCATGAAACAAATAAATAGTTAGAATACCATAGAGTATATTATTATATATATTAAGATTTGAAAGCCAATGATACCTGAATAATTTGTTATTCTTATTAAAACTCATGCATTCTTAAATGATTCTCATGTTGCATTTGATTCGACTTTATATGTTTTCTTCAGTGTTTCAGTATAGTTTGAGATATACACCATCTAACGAAGTGATGGAATGACTGAAGATAATATGTTTGCATATACATTCATCATCAAGACCAATTCCTCATGTGACTATCACACATGAGAATCACATATGGACTTAAGACAAAGCTTAAAAAAAGGTGTATATTAAAATTAAAGACAATATAATATAATATAATAAAAAAATAGATAAAAAAGGTTAATAATAAAAAAAATGATAAAGGATGTAGTGTTTAGTAAATTAAAGATAAAAAAAATGATAAAGAATCAAAAGCGATGCATTTTTTTTTCCGAGCAGTAAAATGGTGGAGGGTAAAAACCGTGTCGATAAATCGGAGGCTTCTCTTATCCTTCGTGGAAACCAAATCATTCAATCTTCAATTCCTCATCACACATTTCCGACCTATATTAAAATACACATATCTAATCGACCTACAAATTCAACTCCACTTTCACCTTTTTCACACACACACATACACACACCCTCCGCCGCCACCAACTAACTCATCTTTTTCCGATCATCTTCCCTGGTTTATGGAATGACGGATTACCGACTACAGACTATGAATCACTGGACCCCCGATGACAACGTCTCCATGATGGATGCCTTCATAAGTTCCGACATGACATCCATTTGGGCCAACCCGGGTACTTCTCAATCTCACACCCACGCGCCGCCGGTTACTGTTCCTCCGGCGTCATCATCTGCTTCGACCTCCGCTCCACACAAGATTATCAACGAATTCAATCCGGATACTTTACAACAACGACTCCAGGGGATGATTGATACGGCACGGGAGTCGTGGACTTACGCTATCTTCTGGCAGTCGTCTGACGTTGATTACGCGGATACTCCGGTGTTAGGATGGGGAGATGGGTACTACAAGGGGGAGGTGAATAAGGTGAAGACAGCGCCGTCGGCGACTTCTATGGCGGAGCAGCAGTACAGGAAGAAAGTGCTCCGGGAGTTGAATTCGTTGATCTCCGGGTCTCAAGCGCCGGAAAGTGATGCCGTTGATGAGGAAGTTACTGATACGGAGTGGTTCTTCCTTATTTCCATGACGCAGTCGTTTGCCAACGGTAACGGACTTCCTGGTCAGGCGGCGTTCACTAACCAACCGGTTTGGGTTGCCGGACGGGAACGGTTGATGGCATCTCACTGCGAACGAGTTCGTCAAGGTCAAGGTTTTGGATTGCAAACGATTGTGTGTATCCCTTGCACCGATGGGGTGATTGAATTAGGTTCAACGGAGTTGATATTTCAGAGTTCTGATGTGATGAAGAAAGTCAAGGTTTCGTTTAATTTTAGTAACAGCCCGGATATCATGCAAATCAATACGGATCAGGTTGCCGTTGCCGGAGGAGATCACGATCCATCGTCGATTTGGCTCACAGATCCGGTGGCTACGTCAACTGTGACTACCGACGTCACGACAATCACGGATTCCGTTGATGTGATTGGCTCTCAGGCGACAACTGTCATTCCATCAATTACTTCTCACGTTCCAAAACATCTTCCCTTTGAAAACCCTAGCTCCAGTTCGATACTTGAAAACCCTAGATATATTCATAATCCCAATCCTGATTCCCTACAAAATCAAGGAGTTTTTGGGAGCAGGGAGTTGAATTTCTCCGAATTCAGATCGTTCGACGGAGCAACTGGTGGCAGAAATGGGAACGGCAGAATCCTGGATTTCGGCGAGAGTAAAAGGAGTTCTACCAACAACAACAACAACGGGGCGCTGTTCTCCGGTCAATCACAGTTCATCGGAGCAGAGGAGAATAACAAGAACAAGAAGAAGAGATCGCCCGGTTCGTGCGGAAGTAACGAAGACGGGATGCTTTCTTTCGTCTCCGGTGTGCTTCCGTCGTCCAGTACCGTGAAATCCGGTGGTTGCACTTTTCCCGGAGCTGATTCCGACCACTCAGATCTAGACGCATCGGTAATTAGAGAAGTGGAAAGCAGCAGAATGGTGGAACCGGAAAAAAAGCCACGAAAACGAGGACGAAAACCGGCCAACGGCAGAGAAGAGCCATTGAATCACGTAGAAGCAGAGAGACAAAGGAGAGAGAAACTAAACCAGCGTTTCTACGCTCTACGCGCCGTCGTCCCAAACGTTTCAAAAATGGACAAAGCCTCCCTCCTCGGCGACGCCATTTTATACATCAACGAACTCAAATCAAAGCTCGATAACACCATATGCGACAAAGAAGAACTAAGAAACCAAATCGATGAACTAAAGAAGGAATTACTAAGCAAAGAATCCCGACAATCATCTTCCTCCGCCATCTCACTCCCGGAAGACATGAAAATGTCGAACACTTCCACCACCCACCAACCTATACTCGATTTAGACGTAGAAGTGAAGGTCATCGGGTGGGACGCCATGATTAGAGTCCAATGTAACAAGAAGAACCACCCTGCCGCCCGGCTCATGGCGGCGTTGAAAGAACTCGATTTCGAAGTCAACCATGCCAGTGTGTCGGTGGTGAATGAATTGATGATCCAACAAGCCACCGTGAAAATGGGTGGTCGGTTGTACACTCAAGATCAGCTCCGGTTAGCCTTAACGAACAGATTTTCAGATCCATTATAGATTTATTATGGCAATTAGTGAAGCTGTAGCTAAACTTTTTTATTTGAAGCTACTATTAATTAAGGTCTTAATGTAACATAAAATGTATGTTGTTAGTGTAACGAGTGAATAAAATGTCTTTTATGAAATCAAATATTATCATCGTTTTCTAAGATTTCGTTTTTTTATTTTACAAATAATCAAAATGAAGTAACATGTTTGTATGGATTTGGTGAGTCGGGTATACCTATTTTGTTTGGGATAAGAAACATGTTATTAAATGGATGGCTGTTACATGAACATACCATGTTTTGTGGTGAAGGAAACATTAGGCCATGCCTACCAATAGACACAATTATTTGTTTTTATTTTGAGTAACTAACATTTTGGTCTTTCAATTTTTGTTTTAAAAGTTTTTCCTTTAGGTATTTGTAACCTATTATGTTTTTAATTTAAGTAACCTAAAATTTTGGTCTTGCATTTTTGGTTTTAAAAGTGTTTTCTTTAGGTACTTGTAATCTTATTATATTTTTTTTTATTTTAAGTAACCGATCTTTCAATTGGTGATACCGTTAAGCTAAAAGTCATTTGGTAAAAAAGAAACAAAAAATCATCAACTACATACTTAACCATCATGAATTTGATTTACTACTTATTTAAACAGCATGCTCATGTCTTCTTTAAATATTAATAATTAAACGTTTAAGCAGTTGAAAGTTGAAATATTAGATATATTACTTGTGTATAACAAGTGGAGTTCATTATATTCATGTATATGTTTATCTTTGGATGAGATAAATATGTAACACTCAAAGTGTACATAAAATATCTAATATTAAAAAAGAGACATTGAATAAACGTGGAGCAGGAGGCATAAAGAGTGGTGTGACAACATATGAGGAGGGCTAGGGCCACCACCATGACCATATCTATAAAAAATAAAAGTGTCTCTACCAAAAAAAAGAAACACGTTTGGCTTTTGGCTTCCACTCGTTAAAAAATAATAATAAAAGTTGTTAGATTTTTATGTTTATCACTGAAAGCACAGTCAACTGCTACCATACAATTCCATTTGATATTATGATTGTTTTTGGGATTCAAATACCGGTATTTACTTTAAATATTAAAGTGATATTACATAATTATATTTTAACTGATGTAGAAAACAAAATAGATGTTATTTTATTTATATGCTCTTTATTTTAGGGTTGTTTTTAATTGATGTAGAGAATAAAACCACTGCTGACAGTAGCTCTCTAGTGCATATTCCCTATACAAGCATCTATTCAAACCTATAGAACTCAATTTCATTGAGAACATTACTAAGATATGTTGAAAATCGTATCTTATGCAATTAAGAAAATTTAAAAGGGTTATACTTTTACTGTCTCTCTTGAATATGACACAAAACATTCTCTATGGTGGTGGACTAATAACAGTACAATGTTACCTCCGTCAACTACAAGAATCTTAAAGTATATTTGACAAAATAGCTGATAACCGTGGTTTTAAGCTCAAAGCTATAGTTTTTATTTGGAGTTAGAAAGATGTCAGTCTTTACTTATGTAGTAATGTTTGGTAAAAGTGAATGTAAAGTTTTGAAAGGTATATTAAAGAACATTGGTATCTCACCTGATAAGGCTTGGCCTCTCCATAGAGGAGATATCAAATTTAAATCTTAGAGGTTTCAACTAGAGACTGATCAAAAGGTGGTAATGCATCATCGATTGCAAATACAAGACAAGACGACTTCATATCTTCACCAAAAAGGTGACACTTCTGGAGAGCCCATTCTAAATGGGATTACCTTTTAAAAGAAAGAAATAAAATAATATTTGTATAAAGGCTATGTTTGGCATACCACAACCAGTTTATATACTAATTTATTTTTGAAGTTTTTTAAGTTTGCCGTGCTTGTCAAACCAATACGTATCTAATAAGCTAACATTTTAAAAACTCTTTAGGCAATGTTTGATAGATTAACTGAAAAACTAATGGATAGGTTAAAAACTAGTCGAGAGCCGAAAGACTAGGTGCTCTCTAAAATAAATGACGTTTAATAATAGTAACTAATAAGTTAGCTGGAATATTTAAATGACATAAAAGACATGTATAAAATCGAGACTTTTTTTTATAAATAATAAATGGTATTTTTGGAAGAACTTTAAAAAAGTTCAATAAGCTCATTGAAATGTTAGTTTGAATAAGTTTCTAAGATTCTTTTTGGTTTGTTAAATATAGCAACCTAAAAAAACTTTAAAGATAATCTAGCTCATAAAACAACCGTAATACTTCAAACATAACCTTAAAACAACTTCCAACGAGGTTATAACTTTTTCAGTACGTCTTCCAAAAATATAGTTTATTAGTTTATTACTTTCTTCGTCTCATAATTATTGTCCACTTTTGACTTTTAAAGTTTTTACTCATCAACTTTGACCTTAAATATTTTTATTTGTGTTATGTATTACTTGATAAAGCGTATAACAATGAAAATACATTCAAAACACAATCCAATCATATATTTGCATCAAGTATTATATATCAAACCAAAAATATTTAAGGTCAAAATTGAAGAATAAATACTTCAAAAATCAAAAATGGACAATAAATATGGAACGGAGGTAGTAATTAAATAGGGTGTGTTCGACGCACAATTTTTGGAAGCTTCTATTCTTCTAATTTCTACCGTTTAAGAAAAAACTTAAAAAAAATGTTTGGCAGCAGGACCGTTTTGCTTTTGGGTTAAACAAAAAGCTTCAAATCCAAAAACTACTTCAACTAGCGTTTAACAAAAAACTCTTTCAGATTTTAACAAATTTACTTAAATACCCTTTAAAATAAATAAATTGTATTCATACTTTAGGTAATTATTTTATATGATTAAATATGAATATATTTTAACATTTATGATATCTTTATTTGAAACAAAATATATCTTATATGATAAATATAAATATAGTTTAACAATTATGATGTCTTTATTTAAAACAACCGCATCAATGAATTTCAAATTGTTTTTTAATCTTCATCTAACAAAATAATAAATATTTATTATATGGATTTATAAACCAACATTACGTTATGTTTGACGTACTAGCTGAAACGTTACCTATTAACTTATAAGGTTATGTTTGGTACATCACAGTTAGCTTATTTTTTTTGAGTTTTTGTAAGTTGTCATGTTTGGATTTTGGAATGTTAAAAGTAGCTTAAAAGCTAGGTTATAAGCTACCTTTTCTAAAAACTACCTACTATTGATGATATTCTATGTCGTACATATAAACACGCTACTGATGTAATCCGATATATAGTAATAATAAATATTTATTATATGAATTTCTAAACCAAAATTGTGTTTTGTTTGACGTACTTGTAACATTCGGATCCCAAGGTAATTCAATTTACAATATTTGTAGCATTTTAAGGTTGCTACGACATGTGAAAGGCGCCACGACGTGACGCTTCAAGAAAAATCACGGGGTCATCTAAGGTCGCGATGGTGTGGAAGTATATGACCACGACATGGCAGTTGGCGAATGACAAAACCCTATTTCTGGGTTTTTCTCCCTATTTAAAGGAATGATGAGGGTAGGGTTTACTTCCAACAACCTCTTTAAGATTTTGAAAACCCTAATCACCTCCTCCTTTGTTTAAACCTTGTGTTCGTGCTTTTTGAAGCCACTAAAGAAAGGAAGAAGAAGTAAGCTTAGAATCTGCAAGCAAGCCATCATCCTTTGTTGTAACAACCTTCTGGACTCTTGTAAGTGTCCAAGACTCGACTTTTATCATGATAGGTGGTTGGATCTTGAGTTTTGTACCTAAATCTTCATGTCCTTATTATTGAGTAGTGAGATCTCATAAAGTTTGCAATTTTATGAATCTCCATGCCATTTAGGGCCTTGATGCTTTGGATATGGAGTAATATCGAGTTTTAGTATCATGCATGGGAGTTTTGGCAAAAAAAAAAAAAAAGACCCTCATTTTGACCTAATAAAGTCCAAGACATGCATTGGACATGCATACTTGTAAAGTAAGGGTTTTTATGTTGTTATGTAATGTTAAAAATGATTATGGAAGTGTGGAACTAGGAGCCTTCCTGATTTAGTGCTTAATCAGTTAATCCAAGTTATGTTTTGCCCTTTCAAGAACTAGGAAATGAGATCTCTATCTCTTAGAGGGTCTAAAAGGATAAAGTTTGAAACTTTATCCACTTGGACCTTTTAATGGACCAGATATGGGATTTGGAGCCCTTAAGATCAAAGAATTTGACTTAATCCGTTAAGCTGTTGGCAGCTCAGTGCCCACGACGTAGCGCGTGGCGACTAGGCTAAAGTCGTCTGTTTTGGCGATTTGTGACCACGACGTGGCCAAGGAAGGCCACGGCATGGCGACTATCTGGAGTTGACTTTGACGTTGACCGTTGACCTTTGACTTTGACAAAGTTTGACTCTAGGTCATTTGAGGTATTTTGAGTAGTAGATTGAAGCTTGAGTCCCTGTTATATGTATAGGTGATCAGTAGAGGCAGTATTTGGAGCGATGATTCGTTCAGCTATCTTTTCAAACTATAAGGTGAGTTTTCTTTCACTGTACTTATGGGTCGAAGGCACCAATATTGGCCCGGTAGATTGTGTATCCTGGTTTAGGATGTTGCTATGTTGTAGTGATCTGTTAAGATCTGTATGTTTACCTGTTGTTGTTATATGTTTATATATTGCATATGTCGACATAGTGCGGGTGGGTTGAGGCATTAATGCTCTGTGCGGAAGCCAACATACCCGAGAGCAAGCCAGACATAAGTTGTGGGCCAAGAATGCAAGCCAGACTTATGTTGTGGGATTGGGAGCAATCCAGACATGAGTTGTGGGACTGAAAGGCAAGCCAGACTCATGTTGTGGGCTCAGGGGTAATCCAGTCCGATGATTGTGGACCCCACATGCATACTGTTATTTGTTATGTATGGTGGTATTTTGGGAGAAACTCACTAAGCTTTGACTTACAGTTTAAGTGTTATGCTCC